AGCGTTTGTTTCACGTCTCGTGTGGTCACTGTGGTAAGAAACTGCTTGGCTTTGATTCCCAGACAATTCGTAATGGGAAAGAAATTTAATAATAATAGAATACGACGTTTCGATTGCAACACAAGCGACCATCATCAGGTACAAATGAATGAGAACAAACATAGTAAAACTTGGAAATATAATGCAATATAACACAGAGTCGGCCAACAAACAATCAATGCCCACCTGGTTGATTACGTTGAAGATTCAACTCCACAATGGGACCTTCACATCGATGGAGGCTCATACCCGAACCGCTCCTGGGCCTCCCTTTCGCCAACCCGGCGTGCTCAAAACATGCGCCCCCCCGTCTCGAGAGAAGGGGCTGGCAATTTCAAATTAACATCGTCCAGACAAATCGCAGCGGCGTACGCAGCCGCTGCAAGAAACTTGACAGTTTTTTCAGCTCTTCCTTTAACGAAACACGTGGAAGTTATCGAACAGTGACATTTATCTTTCCAAACATCGCCAGGCCTCTCGGTGGACATCGACGGCGAATCGCCCCGCCGGCCGTCCCGAGTTCTCGCCGCCGTCCGTCGTCGGCCTCGGCCTGGCGGAGAATCTCGGCGCCGCGGGCGCCCTCCTCGACTCCGGCTCTCCCTGCGCCGAGTCGCCCTCTGGCCTCCGCTCGAGCCGGCGCCCCGAGCGCGAGCCGGGGCCGCCCCTCCCAGCCAGCGCTCGCATCGGACGGCGGCGCTCGCACGTGCGAGAGACGAGAGATGCCCCGTTTACCGTGCGAGCGGTGAACGGGGCGCACCTAGCCTGGCGCGAGCGCCGGAGGCCACTGCGCTAGTAGTCCGGCTTCGGCGGTGCCCTCCTCGCGGTCGAGCACGCGGCCCGAGGTCCGGCTGCCGGCCTCGCGTTTCTGTTTGTCGTCGTTCAATTTCCGCCCGGCAGGTGCGCCGGTCCGGTTCCCGTTCGCGTGCGCGTGGGGTGCAGCGAGCGAGTGAACGCCGCACGGCGGAGGCGTCAGGGAACGGGGGTCGTCGTTTATTGTGAAACCGTTGGGCGGTGGATCGCGTAAGTGTACACACGTGGGCACACCCACGCACACCTTTACATAAAAGCCGCTTCTTATCGCCCTCCATCACGCGGTCGGGGGTTGGGGGGGCAGGGGGAGCGGCCGCACTTAAAGAACACAGGAGGGGAATCACAAGAAGACTACGACGCTCAAAATACTTTCATAATCGTCACAAAAAAAATCATCAATAAAATCAGACTGCTGTGAGCTACTGCATGCACCTAGCTGCCAGGCAAATGTTGGATTTGGTTGCCAGGAAACTGTAATTGTTGCCAGGGCAATCGTGTGAAAAGTTTTTTTTGGTTTGGCCATGTTTTTTCTGTTGTAGTACGGAGTTAGAATGATGGCTTTAAGTTGTCTTGTTGTTGTTGTTTGACTTGCATCCCGCTGGGATTTTTGCACAGAGCGTGGGAGTACGGTGCTTTTCGTGGAAGATTTTTGCTGGTTTTTTTTCCCGGATTTTTCTGTTTGCGCATAGTCACTTTAAGATGTTTTCATGTTCACGTTTTATGTTTGTTGCGGTTGCACCCGATCAAAAAAATGAAAAAAAAAATCAATCGTGCGCCGCGCATGGCGCTGGTTAGAGCCCTGCGAGTCTCGATATGAGGGGGTGGTGGTGGTGGCGGTGGTGGTTCTGTAACCGCGAGCGTGGTTCGCTCACCGAGCGTGGTTCCATTACGACGCGAGGGCCTCTAGCACCACGGTCCAATCGGTGTCGGCGAGCGGCTCACGTCGACGTGGTGACGTCGCCACGCGCAGCTCCATCGCCGTGGTTTTACGTTGCCGCTGGTTACGTCGCACCGCCGTGGCGGCTACGTCACGGCGAGCTGTTCCGCCTGGCTCTGTGACGGCGAGCGGTTCCGCCTGGCTCTGATGGCAAGCGGCTCCGCCCGGCTCTGTGACGGCAAGCGGCTCCGTCTCCGCGGGGCGCGGTTGCTGCCACGGCCGGCTCACCGCCCCACCCACCGCTCCGCCCCCCCCCCCCGCCATGCCCCCTGGCACGGCAGCTCTGCTGAGCCGGCGCCCAGTGCTGAACCCAAATAGGCACTTAAATAAATGTTGTACTCAGCAAGTTAACAGCTACAGAGGCCAAGCTCAAATCAACATGGTTATTATTATTTTTATATATAAAGGTTATATTTCCACAGCGCTGAAAACGGGGCAGGAGGCCTCATTGCTTGCTGCCCCAACTCCACCGCCTAAAAGTGATTAGTCGTGATTATAGTCGTGATTATAGTCGTGATTAGTCGTGATTATAGTCGTGATTAGTCGTGATTATAGTCGTGATTAGTTGAACCATTCAAAACGCAGGCGGTGGCACACCGCAAGGTTGCACATCACCGCCTGCTGGCAACCACGTCTGTCGGTAGAGCCCCGACACTCCCCCCCCTCCCACCCCCCGGCTGACGTGATTGGTTGGTACAGTCCCATAAACTCATTATCCATGCGACTATACTGGCAGGGGCGGGGGTGGGGTAAGAGGAGAGACGTCATTGTCTCGGCCAACGACGGTTCATGGGGCTGGAGTTGTGGAGTACGTGGGGGGTGGGGGCACCTGGGAACCCACGGGCAGCAGCGTCACTTGGGGGAGTCGCTCCGACGTACCGACTTGAGCGTTAGCGACGGCGCTCGCTTAAAATCGCTCGCCCGCCCCTCCCCGCTCACTCACCCCGCCCACTCGCCCCTTTTTAACCGGCGGCCGTGGTTTTTTGCGGTTCAGCTCGCGGGCGGGCGGGCGGGCCGGCCGGTTTCGTCTCAAACCAACGTTCAGCGTCGCCGATTCGTCGACGAGGAACCTCCCCTCGTCCAAGGTCGCGACGCGGACTTGAGAAAAAGCCGTCCATGAATTTCTAAACGCATCGTAAACCCGACGCGGGATCGGCTTCGTCCGTACCCGGAGATCTGGAACCGCGTCGCCGCAAGCACGCCCACTTCCTCCCGTTCCCGACATCGTGAACCAACGCAGATTTCCCCTCGCCGGGGGGGGGGGGGGGGAGGGACCACAGCGGCGTCGCCCTGGTACCACGAAGTCGTTACACGTACCGTCGCCTCGTCCTCCAGTCGGGTTATACCTCCCCTCCCCCACCCCCCCCAAAAGAAGAAAAAAAGGAGTAGCCTCCAAACTCAAAATTGCTGCTAGCGGGCCGGCGGACAGGCAGGCGGACAGGCGGTCAGGCGGGCAGGCGGACAGGCAGGCGGACTGGCTGGTGGATCGGCAGTCCAGCCGGTGCTATGCGGTGGGCGGCCGGTCACGGGGGTGTTCTGGTGGGTGGGTGCTGGGGGGGGTGAGTGGAGGTGCACGGGGGGGGGGGGGAGGGGGAAATGACGACGAGGAGAGAGTGGGGTTGAGAGTAGGAGGTGGTGGTGGTGGGGGGCAGGGTGGTGGTGGTGGTGGTGGGGGGCAAGGTGGTGGTGGGGGGTCTCAGTTGTCACAGCCGCCGCCGTACATGTCGGCGAGCTTACGGAAGCGCGGCCGCCACGAGTTGAGACGCTCGTAGTAGTCGTGGTCGTCGTGGTGGTCGTCGTCGTCGCCGCCCCCCCCCCGCGCTCGAAGAGCCGAGCGAGCTGAGCGAGCTGAGCGAGCCGGCCAGGGAGCCGTCCCCCTCGTGGTGGAACACGTGCAGCGAGTCGTAGGGCGGTGTTGTCGTGTCGTCGTCGGCCGTGCGCAGGCCCTGAAAGCCAGAACACCACCACCACCGCCGCCGCGGGAGACAGACGGTGACGTTAACGACGATGACGTCATCGACGTCGACAGCCAATGATGACGACGACGATGACGTTTGTGACGGCATCAGCAACGATACAAATGTCGGCACCGACGATGACGTCATCGATATCGACAGCCGACGACGATGACCTAACGACAAAATTTCGCCATGGCATCAACAACATCGGCGATTACGTCGCCAGCAACGACGTCGTCCACCATTAAGATGACATCGTCATCATCTGCACGCTGTGCACTGTGTGGTGGAGCGGTGGTGTAGTGGTCAGCGCCCCGCACTACGTACGTGTCTACGTAGAATTTCCACTGCGCCGTACGTAGCCAACTGCGCTAATTGGGGGCGTTACAAATCCCGGCGGCCCGAATTGGATCCCCGTTCACGAGCAAACAATGCGGTGACGATTATCTGACCCGGTCCTGGGCCTCCCCCCTAGCTCGACTCCGCCTCAATCGAGTCCCCGGGTGCCGCGTGTCAACATCGCCACTGGGGGGGGAGACAAAGACGGCCAGCGGGCATGGTGCCGGCCACCCACCCTCCTCCGTGTGCCGCTCCTCGCCAACGGGACCTTTGTCTCGTGCCGCGTGCATCGTTTGACGGGGCGGTGGCGGTGGTGGTTCACGTGCGCGGCGCTGGGTTTGGTCGTGCGCGGTTCCATCCCCTATGTGCGTGCGGCGTTTGCCACCTCTCCCACCCACCCACCCACCACCCCCTTACCACCCACCTCGCTGATGAAGTCGCCAATGTCGCTGGGGTGCGGGTAGCGCGGCTCGGCCAGCGACGGCCGCTCGTCCAGGTGGCGCACGCCGGGGCCCTCGCGGCGCGGCGGCGGCAGCTCGCTCGGGAGCCGAACCAGCAGCAGCGCCGGGTCGTAGTCCTGCGGCGGCAGACCGCGCCGTCATCTCGCCGGCGCGTGGGCACGCAGGGCGCTGCCGCCGCCGCGAGAGGGTCTCTCGCTGGACAGTCAAACCGCAACCACCGCCACACCTGCCGTCTCTCCGCACCACCGCCGCCGCACCGCGTAAACGCACCGCGCAGATGTGCGAGCACGCCTCTCACCCGGTCCTCCTCTCTCCCGCCCTCGTCGTCGTCGTCGTACGTGAAGACGTCGCCGCCCTCCTCCTCGTCCTCGGGGTCGCAGAGCGGTTTCTCGTCGCGGCGCCTCTTGCGAGCGACGAAGAGCGGCGCCAGGACTGCACGTGGGGGGGGGGGGGGGCGACCCGCCCCGGTCAAACCACGGAAATCCTCCGCGAACGAACGGAGATCTCGCCGCACGAATCCCCGCGCCGCCGGGGGAGGGCCCCGCGTCCGCAGCACCGGGTCCCCCCGAACGATACCGACGGCTATTATATTCTTAGCTCTTTCGGTAAAGTCACGTTGAAGGAAACAATAAAATATATATAAACAATAAAAATTCTCACGACGTTTCGACCATAACACAAACGGTCGTCATCAGGTGTGTCCTGTTTGTGTTATGGTCGAAACGTCGTGAGAATTTTTATTGTTTTATATATATTTATTATTTTATTGTTTCCCTTCAACATGGTGACTTTACCGAAAGAGCTAAGAATATGAATCGCTGCAGTCACGAAAGCTTTAAATCAAAAAGATGCCGACGACACGACGTCAAACTCACCGAGAAGCAGCAGCAGCAGCAGCAGGCAGAGGAGGGCGGCCTCGGCGCCGGCGGCGTTGAGGCCGCCGGCGGCGTCGCGGCCGACGCAGTCGCCACGCCGGTCGCAGGCGCACACCTTCACCTGGAGCTCCGACACGGCGCTCATCGCGGGGTTGCCCGAGTCCGTGACGAGCAGCGGCACCAAGTAGAGGCCCTCGGGCAGCGCCGTCTTCATGCGCAGCTGCGAGCCGCCGCCTGCGGGGCAGAAGGGGAGGGGAGCGTGGAGCGTGGAGCAGAGAGATGTCGCGCGGTGCGCCGAGGGCGGGGTGGCGGGCGCATCGTGACGCGGGGAGTCGCGCCGGCGACGAGAGTCGACGACGCGGCTCTCGGCCGCGTCCCGGGCCGCCCGCTCGTTCGGAAAGCGCCGGCGAATCCGGAGGGGGTCGGGGGCGGCGACGTTTTCCCGGCTCTCGTCCGACGGGTCGCGAGGTGCGGGTCGACGACAATGGACCGGCGCGTTCGGTTGTTTTGGAGCGGTGGCCTGGGGCGAGGACAAGATTTTGCGCGTTGCGATGCCGCACCCCGCCGCCGCCGTGTTTGATCCATCAACGTGGCGGGATTTGGCGACTCTGCCTTACGGCTCAAGCTGGGGCGGGGAGGGGGAGAGGGGGAATGGGGATCCGTCCGGATCGGAAAAACCCGGAAAATATTTTCGTACCCGGCACACCATGTCCAGTATACCACTGGCTCCTGCTCAGCTGCGTGCCACCCCCACGCTCAGTCGGTTCACGAGAAACAACGAGATACTGGGTGAGATAATTACGAAGTAATCCTTGAGTAGGGCGCTGGGTTTTGCTGCTACGCTGCCCTCTGCTGACAACACAGGCCAAGAGCAAGGTGGGGGCAGAGCGGGACAGGGTAGGGGGCAGTGCAAGCGTAGGAGTCATGGCGAGCGAGTGGGAGCAGAGTGATTGCTGAGTGATGGCAAGCGAGTGAGTGATGGTGAGCGAGTGATTGCTGAGTGATTGTGAGCGAGTGATTGCTGAGTGATTGCTGAGTGATTGCTGAGTGATTGTGAGCGAGTGATTGCTGCGTGATTGTGAGCAAGCGAGTGAGTGCGGTTTGCTGTCCGCACAGCCGGACGTGGCAGTGTGGGTGGCGCAGTGCAAGGGCAGCGTGGGGGGGGGGGGGGTGGTGGAGGGGCCCCCCACACACCGTCCACCCGGTGGATGGTCCAGTTGTCGTCGGCGGCGGGGTTCCCGGGCGCCAGCCGGAAGCCGAAGGGAGCGCCGTTGAAGTCCTCGTCGGCGTCCCTGGCGGTGACGTCGACGGCGCCGCCCGGCGCGCCGCACACCGCGGCCTCGTCGGGCCGGGCGACGGGGGCGTTGTCATTGACGTCCGACAGCAGCAGCGCCAGCGTCCCCGTGCCGCTCGCCACGGGGTCGCCTGCTCCCACCGGCACGCCGAGACACGAAGAGCGAGATCCCCGCACGCCCCCACCACTCGCCGGCCTTCTACAAACCAGCGAAGGTTCGGCACGGCAGCCTTTGTCTCCCCAGTGAGGATGTTTACACACACACACACACGACACCTCTGTCTCCCCAGTTGGGATGTTTACACACACACACACCTCTGTCTCCCCAGTGAGAATGTTTACAGACACACACACACACACGACACCTCTAGTCTCCCCAGTGAGGATGTTTACACACACACACACGACACCTCTAGTCTCCCCAGTGAGGATGTTTACACACACACACACGACACCTCTGTCTCCCCAGTGAGGATGTTTACACACACACACACAGCACCTCTGTCTCGCCAGTCAGGATGTTTACACACACACAGCACCTCTGTCTCCCCAGTGAGGATGTTTACACACACACACGACACCTCTGTCTCCCCAGTGAGGATGTTTACACACACACACGACACCTCTGTCTCCCCAGTGAGGATGTTTACACACACACGACACCTCTGTCTCCCCAGTGAGGATGTTTACACACACACACACGACACCTCTGTCTCCCCAGTGAGGATGTTTACACACACACACACCTCTGTCTCCCCAGTGAGGATGTTTACACACACACACACACACGACACCTCTGTCTCCCCAGTGAGGATGTTCACACACACACACGACACCTCTGTCTGCCCAATGAGGATGTTTACCCACACACACACGGCACTGGGTACTCTTGTTTGAGGCCGAGTCAACCAAGGGGAGACCGATTCGGATAATAATCGTCATCAATGTTGGGCGTGAGCGGGAATCGAACTCGGCTTGCCGGGTTTGTAATGCAGCGCGCCGACCCTTCCACCGCCGCTCCAGACGTGGACCGGTTACACAAACATACCACACCAGGGACGCATTGTAAGGCTGAGTCTACCTACAGACGCACCCCACTCACTCATTTTGTGAATTGCACCTTTAAGCAGAAGCCACACACGCCAATCGAAGGTGCGGGAAATGGCGAGTGAGTAAGTCAGTGATGGTGAGTGAGTGATCGTGAGTGATGGTGAGTGAGTAAGCCAGTGATGGTGAGTGATGGTGAGTGAGTAAGTCAGTGATGGTGAGTGATGGTGAGTGAGTGATGGTGAGTAAGTCAGTGATGGTGAGTGATGGTGAGTAAGTCAGTGATGGTGAGTAAGCCAGTGATGGTGAGTGAGTGATGGTGAGTAAGTCAGTGATGGTAAGTGAGTGATGGTGAGTAAGTCAGTGATGGTAAGTCAGTGATGGTGAGTAAGTCAGTGATGGTGAGTGAGTGATGGTGAGTGAGTAAGTCAGTGATGTTGAGTGAGTGATGCTGAGTGAGTGATGGCGAGTGAGCAAGTCAGTGATGGTGAGTGATGGTAAGTCAGTGATGGTGTGTGATGGCGAGTGAGTAAGTCAGTGATGGTGAGTGAGTGATGGTGAGTAAGTCAGTGATGGTGAGTAAGTCAGTGATGGTGAGTAAGTGAGTGAGTGATGGTGAGTGAGTGATGGCGAGTGTGTGATGGCGAGTGAGTAAGTCAGTGATGGTGAGTGAGTGATGGTGAGTGAGTAAGTCAGTGATGGTTGAGTGAGTGAGTGATGGTGAGTAAGCCAGTGATGGTGAGTGAGTAAGCCAGTGATAGTGAGTGAGTGATAGTGAGTGAGTGGTGAGTAAGCCAGTGATAGTGAGTGAGTGATAGTGAGTGGTGAGTAAGCCAGTGATAGTGAGTGAGTGATAGTGAGTGAGTGGTGAGTAAGCCAGTGATAGTGAGTGAGTGATAGTGAGTGAGTGGTAAGCCAGTGATGGTGAGTGAGTGATAGTGAGTAAGCCAGTGATGGTGAGTGAGTAAATCAGTGATGGTGAGTAAGCCAGTGATAGTGAGTGAGTGGTGAGTAAGCGTGGTGTGATGACGAGTGAATAAGCGAGTGAATGTGGTGTAGCTGGGGCGTGTCTGTAAACAGGGGGGGGGGGGGGTGGTGCATTGTGGGGGCAGCCCTCACCGTCATCCGTGGCCAGGAAGGTGGCCGTGTAGGTGTTGCCCTGCACCAGGGCCGCCTCGCGGTCCAGCACCACGGCCGTGGTCACCTTGCCACTCACGGGGTCGATGTCCAGCCAGTCGCCCGGCACCCAAAGCTTCTTGTAGCTGCGCGCGGCCCCATCACACAGACACACGTGCACACAGGTGAGTCACACACACAGGTGAGTCTCACACACAGGTGAGTCTCACACACAGGTGAGTCTCACACACAGGTGAGTCACACAGTTGAGTCTCACACACAGGTGAGTCACACAGGTGAGACTCACACACAGGTGAGTCACACAGGTGAGACTCACACACAGGTGAGTCACACACAAGTGAGTCACACACAGGTGAGTCACACACACACAGGTGAGTCACACACACAGGTGAGTCTCACACACAGGTGGGTCACACAGGTGAGTCTCACACACAGGTGAGTCTCACACAGTTGAGTCACACACACAGGTGAGTCTCACACACAGGTGAGTCTCACACACAGGTAAGTCACACACACAGGTGAGTCTCACACACAGGTGAGATCACACACAGAGGTGAGTCACACACAAAGGTGAGACTCACACAGAGGTGAGGCTCACGCAGAGATGAGTCACACACAGAGATGAGTCACACACAAAGGTGAGTCTCACACAGATGAAGAGGTGAGTCACACACAGAGGTGAGTCTCACACAGAGATGAGTCACACACAGAGGTGAGTCACACACAGAGGTGAGTCTCACACACAGGTGAGTCTCACACACAGGTGAGTCTCACACACAGAGGTGAGTCACACACACAGCTGAACAGAGTTCACACAGGCGATTCACACAGCTTAGTGTCACACAGCCGAACAGAGTGAGTCACACACAGGTGAGGCGCACACACACACGGAGGGCGGGAGGAAGGGTCGGCTGCCGGCTGTCCGGGCGGCGACGGGAGCGGCCGGGGGGAGTGTGGCTGGGGAAGGCCTCACCGCACGGCCTGCCCCTGCGCGGTGTCGGGGTCACGGGCCACCACGGTGGTCACGTGGTGGCCCACGGGGAGGCCCTCGGGGAGCTTCACCTCCCGCCGCAGCGGCTTGAACGTCGGCCCCTCGTTCTCGTCTTCCACCGTCACCTACCGGGTGGGCGGCGGGGTGGGGGGGGGGCTGTTAGCGAGCACCTGTAGAGGTGGGGGCACGGTGTGGGCGGTCGTGCGGGAGGCGGTGCGGCCGTCACCAGCGCTGTGCTTCACAGCGCTGGTGACGGCACAGATGTCCAGGAGACACCTGTGAAAAAAAAGGTCTACTGGACTTGAAATAAGTAAACATCGGGGTGCTTAAGTCATTCGCTCTCATCGGCCGAAAAAAATTGTCGATAACAAACGTGTGCGACTGAAGTTTCGCCGTCTGAGGCGGTATCAGATCTGCCCCCGCGAGCGGCGCAGGAAGCTGTGGGGGGGCGAAACTTGTGGGGGGCCGCGGGGGGCAGCGGGGGGCCGCGGGGGGCACTCACGGTGACGGTCGCGATGCTCGCCGGTCCGAACTCGGCGCTCTCGAGCGACGCCTCGTTCTCCACGGCGACGACGAGGTTGTACTTGGACGAGCTCTCAAAGTCCAAGGGCTGCGGCGTACACACACACACACCAACCACACACACCACACACACACCAAACACCACACACACACCACACACACGCCAAACACCACACACACACCACACACACACACCAACCACGCACCACACACCAACCACGCACACACACCACACACCACACACACCACACACACTCACCACGCACCACACACCAACCACGCACACACACCACACACACACCAAACACCAACCACACACACATACCACGCACACACCCCACACACCACACACACACACACCACACACCAACCACGCACAACGTTACCCTCCCACCAATCAAACGCTGAGTCATCACCAACACCGTCACGACCGCTGCACCACAGTCACCGCCGCCGCCATCCCCACGTCGTCACCGCCGTCGCCCACCGGCAACATCGCCACGAACTTCGCCTTGCCACCACCATCACTATCATCAGCATCATCATCGTTACGCGACCATTACCAGCATTGCCATGTCAACCTCATTTCACCATCAGCCACCGCATTCACCATCACTACCCTATCATCGCATCACCACCACCACGCCACCTCTCCCCCCATCACCACCACCCAATCAACAACATCGCGACGCCACTCCCATCACCATTATCACCACATCACCCTCCCCCGCCACCACGACCATTACCATCACCACCCCCATCATCACCACCGCTACTCCATAATCGGCACCTTCACCACAGCCCCATTATCACCACCACCACTACCCCATCACCATCACCGTCTCCTACGTTACACCATCACCACGACCATCAGCATCACCATCACCACCATCACCATCACTACCCCATCATCATCACCATCACCTACATTACGCCATCACCACGACCATCACCACCATCACCATCACTACCCCATCATCATCACCACCACCTACGTTACGCCATCACCACGACCATCAGCATCACCATCATCACCACCACTATCACTACCCAACCACCATCACCGTCTCCGCATCGGCAGCGCGTGACAGACCCCCCCCCCCACCGCCCTCCCCCCACCACCGCCCTCCCCCCACCACCGTGCCCCCCCCCCCCCACCCCCCCCCCCCCCCCCCCCCCCCCCACCGTGCCCCCCCCCACCTTGACGACGTAGAGCCTGCCGTCGTTGGTGCGGGGGTCGGTCTCCACGGCGAAGTTCTTGCCGGGGTCCCCGCCGCGGACGACGTAGCGAGTGCGCCACGCCGGCGTGCCGGGCTCGTCCACGTCCGTCGCCGTCAGCGTCGTCACCGTCACGTTCACCGCGTTCTCGCGCGCCGTACCGCTGAACTGCGGCGGAGACGGTGGTGGGGGGGGGACGTCGTCAGATTCATTGTTCCGCCAGTCTCAAAAATAAAAATATTTTACCAGGTGAGGCCCCACAGCACGGAGCTATGCAGCTCTGTTTTTAGAAGCAACCTAGCCATCAAATGGTAGCTCAGCGAAGTGGCTCATCATCACGTGGAAATGTACACAACAGCTTTGAACGCAAGACCACCACGGGGAGAACATTCAAATTACAAATATACACGCGTCAGGGTCAGGATCAAACCCACGACCTTCCGCATACCGCACAAGGAAGTGAACATCTTGCCAACCGGGAAATGTTAGTCGATGGCGAATGTTAATTTAGAGGCAAAGTAAGTCTACGGGCCATTTTCGTCTAAGTGCAATGTAAATCTACATGCAATGTTAATCTACGGGCCATGTAAAGTCTAGGCGGGTGATCTGGTGGCGCGGCCTGGTTGTGTGCGGCGGCGGCGGTTCGTACGGTTATGCCCGTAAACTCGGGGGCATTGTCGTTTTTGTCGGTGATGGCGACGATGGCGGTGGCCGTGTTTGCGAGGCCGATGTCCGGGTCGCCCTCCATGTCCAAGGCCTGCACCACCAGCACGTACTGCGGCGTCCTCTACACAGACGGGGCACGCAGACGCACGACTCTTACAGATGAACAACAAAACGACGAGGACAAGCATTCCTCGTGCAGCCTCGACAGACCTTTGTGCTGGGTGGCCAGCATCACGCCCGGCCGCCTTTGTCTCCCTAGTGGGGATGTTTTCACACTGCAGCAGGTTACTCATTTGAGGCCCGAGTCGACCGTCACCGGTGTTGGACCGGTCTCAGGTCCCCGGGTTCGTAGCGCGGCGCGCTAGCAGCGTCACCGTCGCTTCCGAGACACAGGGCACCACACAATACGAGGTACATGGTCAGTAGAAATACATATATTTCATTCTATCTATGCTGGTATGTGCAATCCAAAGGTTGAACACGAAATTTAACGCTCTTCTGAAATTCGTGGTCCGCCAGGAAGTGTCTAACTGTGTTGTTGGCCTGACTGGATGTGCTTCACATAATGTTTTTCAGGTTTGTTGAATTCTCATCTCTCATCTCTTTGCTGTATTTACCTCCGCGATTTGTTCTTGACACCTGATGAAGATTGCTTGCGTTGTGATCGAAACGTCGCGATTGTTTTTTTGTTCTAATATAATTTTATTGTATTTCTACGTACGTGACTTTACCGAAAAAACCAATGAGTAATTTTATGCAGCCACGAAAGCTTTAATACTTTATTAGGGCACCACACAATAGCTGTGCACTTTTAAATCCAGACTGAAAACTCGTTTCTTTAGAGCTGCTTTTCGTGTCGAGCCTTTCGCCCTTCCCTCGCACCTCCGATCAGCGCGGTCGCCTGCGTACGGCGCGCGACTTGACGTTCAACGCAACGTGCATACACGACTGAAAACACGCGAACGTAACACCGTACACACAACCCCGGAGGTTAGCCACCATCCCCCGGACCGACGTCAGCCAATCGGCGGCGGTTGCCGCGGGACGACGCACCTCGCGGTCCAGCCCGGCGGCGATGGTGCTGATGACGCCCGTGGCGTTGTCGATGGTGAACGTGCGCTCCAAGGGCACCTTGGGGGCCTGCGACATGATCTTGTAGCGGATCATGCCGTTGGCCGTTAAGGCGTCGTCCTTGTCGCTCGCCTCGACCCTCATCACCGCCGTGCCTGCCGGGGGTGGGAGGGAGGGCAGGGCAGGGGAGGGCAGAGGGGAAAAGCAGGGAGGGAGGCGTGGACGTCGTTACTATCAAAAAACAAAACATTATATTCGTTCGCATCACAACCACCACCATTCTTGTCATTCTCAACATCATCGTCGTTATCAAGAACATCCACGTCCATGTCCACGATCCAACATCCACGATCAAAGATATTATAAATAATGTCATCACAATCATAATGATTTAAACCAGCTTCACCTGTTAATCATAAACATCATTGCCATTGTTACCAACGTCACCACCATGCCTATTGCCACCTCTACCTCATTCACCACCAATATCCCCACTGCCACTACCACCACCATCACAACAACAACAACCGCCATTCGCCACTAAGTGGCGGTGACATCACCACGACGCTTGTGCCAGGCTATGTACACCTTGAGGCCACGTGAAGTGTCGAACGCCCGCTGGGAGGCGGTCACAGGGCAAACCCAGGTGCCACGGGTCGACTGAGACGACTGGCTGATGCACCACCTGTGCCCCCTACTGTGCCAACTTGCTGTGTTTTAGCCACCCGGCACTCCGCTTATTGTGAGTGTCGCTCCTCCGCCCTCCGTTGTTGTTGGAGGGCGGCTGCCTCCAACTGCCCAGTAGCGTCCTTCACGAGCCTCCTCCACAGAGGCCGATCTTGACACTGGCAAGTCCGCTTAGCTCCACATCCTCCTGTACCACATCACTCCATCTCTTCTCTAGCCCGTGACGCGCCTGTTTTATCTCCCTCGATCCGGCCGAACAAAAGCAGTTTCGGCATGCGGTGGCTGGGCATGCGGGCTCCATGACACAGCTATATGCCGGAGGAGCTCACCGATGGGACTTTGTCCAGATCTTTCGAGGATACGTGAACTCCTCACACAATCCAGGCTGCCTGGTTAAACCCAGGATGAATCGTAGGCAGGCCAGCCTAAATGTTTTAAACCGGCGAAGATGTTCCATTCGGGGGGTCTACGTTTCGCAAGCGGAGAGAAGGGAGCGAATGACCGTGGCCGAGAAGACCTGAAGCTTCGTGCAGAGCAACAGACCAGGTAGCTTCCACACGGCGTTACGCAACCGATGAAAAGACATTGCCGCTCGACTGATTCAGAGTGAGACCCCTGCTGTCAAACCGGAGCTGGTCATGAGCACACTACCCCGGTATGGGTAAACTCTCCACTCTCTCCACAACTGCCCCATCACCAATTGAGAGTTGCGGGGGTTGAGTGTCCGATGGTACAAAATACCCAGGCGGGCGCTATCACTATTACACCCCCGTCACCACCGCGCCCGTCTGTGCCCGTCCGCACGCCGCACCTGGTGGGGATCCCTCAGCCACGGAGCCCTGGAAAACGGGCGTGGCGAACTCGGGCCGGTTGTCGTTCATGTCGATGACGTTGATGACGAGCTTCACGGGGTTCTCCACCGGATGCCCCTTCATGTCCACCGCGTGGGCCTTGAGCTGCAGCGGGCACGCCACGCACACGCCACGCACACGCAACGCACACGCAACGCACACGCGCGTTACACGCAACGCACACACGCGTTACACGCAACGCACACGCGCGTTACACGCAACGCACGCAACGTGCGGCACACGCAAGAAAGCGCGTGGGGACTGGTCGTTGTTCTGCGCCCTGGTTCTCATCGCCATTGGAGCTGCCCTGAGCTGCCCCTGGGTCCCAGTCATTGGTGCCGCCCCCGATTGCCCGGCCGTGTAAACGTCGCCACTCTGGAGACAAAAGCGTGGGTGGGGTTGCTGGCCACCCACCCCGTCGTGCACAAATGTTGGCCTTTATGCGGTGCTCGCTAACAGCACTTGCCTCAACCGTCTACGACGCGCTATACAAGGGATCCTTTGTCCCTGCGTCTCGTTGTTGTTGCGGTGGTGGTGGTGTGGTTGTAGTCGCCGACGTTTGGATGTTTAGAGTTGGCCAAACATCCCTCTAGAGCGGCGGTTCTCTAAGGGTAGTACCTGGACCACCGACGGTCTGGGACGGTACTCCTGGAGGTCCGCTGGGTTGCGATGCTGATTGCAGGTTGATCCGCAAATGTTTACGCCTTTTGTTTCGGACATTAATAGTTTACTCGTGATATTTAAAATTGAAAAATTAAATTAAGTAAACCACCTCGATTAAAACTACCCGAACCCTGAGATCTCAACCGTTATAGCTGCGTTAACGTTCTTTTAATGTTCCGGTAATATGAATATAATTTAGTAATATTGGTATTTAGAGAAGTGAATGGTTTGTGTCACCAGGGGCAGGAGGGGGTTGCACCACGTAAATGTTTACACTGACCGAGTGGTCCGGGGACCAGGAAATTTGAGAAAACTCCGCAATAGAGGCCTGGACCTTACTACGCGAACACAAACACACACACACGTGGGTGTGCTCGCTAACACACACACACACGTGGGAGTGCTCAATAACACGCACGTGGGTGTGCTCGCTAACACACACACACACACGTGGGTGTGCTCGCGTGGGCGCCTCACCAGATACTCTGCGATTAGCTCACGGTCCAGGGTCTTGGTGACCGAGAGGCGCCCGGTCACGGAGTTTACGACGAACACCCCCGTGGGCTTCTGGTCGGCGCCGGGCCCCACGATGCTGTAGCGGATTTTCCCGCGCGTGTTCGATTTGATCTGCGGGGACGAACGCGGACGGGGTAGGGGAGGCGGCAGGGGGCGGCGTTACGCTCCGCACGATAGCCACGCTCGTACATCGCGTGAATACGCGGGGCAAGCGCGGTTGGCGAGCGGCAGCAAATATGAAGGCTGGCGTGGCACACGAGGGGGTGCGATACGCGGTTACCAACACACCCGGCCGCCATTATCCCCCCAGTGTGGAGACGGCTATATACACCGCACCGTGTACTTAGTTGAGACCAAGTTCAGATAACTGTCACTGGGTGTTAGCCGTAAGTGGAAATCAATCTCACGTCTCCAGGTTCAGAGCGCAGTGTGTGCTAACCAATTGGCCACCGTTCCCCCAACATATATACATGTACACACACACACAAACATCACATGCTAAATACACCACGAACCCCAAAGACACACACACCACATGCCACACACACACATTCACCCTCACACCTAACCGACGTGTGACATTCACACACTGCTCAACAGGGGGTTGAACATAGGCAGCAGGGCACCCGAGTTGGGGATTGAACCCAGAGGCCCCCCTTTCTTGCCGGTGTGGGAGGGGTGCGGGGGTAGAGGGGGCGAGGGGGGGAAGAGGGCAGGGGGACCTTCACCTGCACCAGCCCCTTGGGGAAGGGCCCGCGGTCGTTCTCGGGGACGTTGATCGCCGGGATGAGCCAGCCGCGCTTCTGCCGGCGCCGCCTGCCGCTTCGCAGCCGGCGGAACGCGAGCACGCCGCCCTCGCCTCCGTGCGCCGCGCCCTCTTCCGCCCCCGCGGCGCCGACGCCCGCCTCCTCCTCCTGGCGCTCCTCCTCCTCCTGGCGCTCCGTCTCCCGCTTGGGCGTCCCCCCGTGCCTTCCCTGCGAGACGAAGCGGCGGCGGCGACTCAGTTGGGACGACGCTAACGGTGCCGCGATCGCCCCCCCCCCCTCTCTCTCTCTCACGCGCGACTTTGCGACCGCCGCTCCTCGCCGCTCGACAATCCAGCCGGGCCGCCCCCCCCCCCACCCCCCATTTCGTCACGTGGGGGGGGGGGGGGGGGGGGGCGGTCAACGTCACGAAGTTCACAAGCGACGTTGGTCGCGTTGGGCCACGCGTCGACGACACCGGCCGACCGTTCCCATTTGCCTCGGCCCCTGAACCTGAAGATTGCCGCGCGTGCCAAGTCGCTTACTTCACGTTTCCCCACGGTGGCGAGATGTTAACTACCTCGCCTGGTGTGCCGGAGGTCGTGGGTTCGATGCCGACGCTAACGGTGCCTGTGTATTTGGAGTTTGCGTGTTCTCCCCGTGTCTCTCTCTCCCCGTGTCCCACCACCCCGTGTCTCCTCCAGCTCGTGCCGCTGTCTCTCCGCCCCCTGCTCTCTCACTGTCCGACCGCGCCGATGTCTGCCGGGCGCTGTCCGCCCAGGGCTGTCCGCTCTTGGCCATGCTGTCTCCGTGTGCCTGATAAGCGATGATCGTGTCGGCAGGCAAGCCCAGCCTGCGCTTGTACACACGCCTAGATAGACAGAGATACACAGTGAGTGAGACAGACAGTGAGAGACAGAGACACAGACAGAGAGACAGACAAAGAGAGAGACACAGACAGAGAGACGCAGACAGACACCGTCAGAAAGACACGCAGACAAAGACACGGTCAGAGAGACACGGCGAGAGAGATGAGACAAAGACAGCCAGCATCGTCATTAGCATGGGTGGGTGAGTAGGTGGGTGAGTGAGTGGGTGAGTGAGTAGATGGGTAGTCGGTGAGTGAGTAGCTGTTGGGTGAGTTGCTGTGTGAGTAGGTGAGTGAGTAGGTGAGTGAGTGGCTGAGTGGGTGGCTGAGTAGGTGATTGAGTGGCTGAGTGAGTAGGAAACTGAGTGGGAGAGTGAATGTGAGAGAGTAGATGAATGAGTGGCTGGGTGAGTGAGTGACTGAGCGAGTGGGTGAGTGAGCGAGCGAGTGGTTGAGTGAGTGAGCGAGTGGTTGAGTGAGCGAGCGAGTGGGTGAGTGAGCGAGCGAGCAAGTAGGTGAGTGAATGGCTGAGTGAGTGGCTGAGTGAGCGATTGGGTGAGCGATTGGGTGAGCGAGTGGGTGAGTGAATGAGTGGCTGAGTTGGTATATGAGTATGTGAGTGGGTGGGTGAGTATATGGGTTAGTTGGTGAGTGAGTAGGTGATTGAGTGGGTGAGTAGATGAGTGGGTGTAGGTGAGTGAGTGGGCGAGTGAGTAGGTGGGTGGTCGGTGAGTGAGTAGGTGGCTGAGTAGGTGGGTGAGTAGTGGGTGATTAGGTGACTAGGTGGGTGAGTAGGTAAGTGAGTAGGTGAGTTGGTGAGTATGTGAGTTGGTATGTGAGTTGGATGTGTCAGTAGGTGAGCGTCTCGCTCACCCGATGGTAATGACGGCCTCGCTGCTGTCAGCGTTGGAGGTCCACAGGGCGATGCGGTCTCCCTTGTGTTCTCTGGTGTGTTACAAAATTATGACTCTGAAAAGGCCTTCCTGCACAGAGTGCACTTGAAGGGTTTCTCTCCTGTGTCCTCTGGTGTTTTTGAAGATGTGGTGACTGTGCAAACTCTGTGTGTACACTGTGTGTCCACTCTGTGTGTGTACACTGTGTATACACTGTGTGTATACACTGTGTGTATACACTGTGTGTGCGTACACTGTGTTTGTGTGTATACACTGTGTGTGTGTACACTGTGTGTGTGTGTACACTGTGTGTATACACTGTGTGTATACTGTGTGTGTACACTGTTTGTATACACTGTGTGTGTGTACACTGTGTGTCCACTCTGTGTGTGTATACTGTGTGTGTGTACGCTGTGTGTCCACTCTGTGTGTACACTGTGTGTACACTGTGTGTGTGTACACTGTTTGTATACACTGTGTGTGTGTACACTGTGTGTCCACTCTGTGTGTATACTGTGTGTGTGTACACTGTATATACTGTGTGTGTGTACACTGTGTGTCCACTCTGTGTGTGTACACTGTGCATACACTGTGTATACAGTGTGTGTGTGTACACTGTGTGTGTGTAGTAGGGGGCACAGGTGGTGCATTGGTCAGTCATCTCAGTCGACCCATGGCATCTTTTCATCAATTTATTTTAAATTTATTATTTTTAATTATTTGTATTATTAAAATTTTAATTTATTATTTTTATCTTTTATTTTTTGTTTTCTATCTACGTGACTTTACCAAAAGAACCAGGAACATGGTAGCGCATTCTCTATTTGTTGCAGAGGTTCAAGGTTCAAATCCGACAGGCATATCTGGCTACCCCAGTAACATTCACCACAACATGCGCAGTCTGCTTAACAGCGGATGTCAAACAAACCACTGTGTCACTCACAACGCACATTGCATGTTGGTGTCACGGTCAAAATTGTGGCAATTCCAGTAACACTATCCAGAAACTCCACAAGGGAGATGACGCGTCAATGATCGCCCCTTACCGACAGACTCATGTCCACGTGCAGACCGGTGCAGGGCCACCTTGTGCCACACAGGGGCAGCTGCCACTAGGGGGCGACCTTCCATTGTTTGAGATGAGGTTCGATACGAAACACCGAGTTGCTGAGGCAATAAGGCAAGAGATTTATGATACCAGCCGCTCCTCCTGGGCAGGTTCGGTTACGTACGGTGCGAAATAAGTTCCAGATACACACACAGAGACTCACACAGATACACACACAGACTCACACAGATACACACACAGAGACTCAGAGACTCACACAGATACACACAGATACACACACAGAGACTCACACAGATACACACACAGATACACAGAGACTCACACAGATACACACACAGACACACACACAGAGACTCACACAGATACACACACAGAGACTCACACAGAGACTCACACAGATACACACACAGACACAGATACACACACAGAGACTCACACAGATACACACACAGAGACTCACACAGATACACACACAGAGACTCACACAGAGACCCATAGATTAACACGGTTGGCTAGGTATGGTGCGAAAGAAGTTATATACACAGAGACCCATGGATTAACACGGTTGGCTAGGTATGGTGCGAAAGAAGTTATATACACACAGAGACCCATGGATTAAAATGGTTGGCTAGGTATGGTGTGAAAGTTACAGATAAACAAGTTTGAGTCGCGGGCCGTGGAAGTTGACCGGGCGCGTGTTGCTACTGACAGTCGTTGAATACGGTTGGATAGACGCTGATAGAGAGACACACACAGACAAGACAGGCGGACAGACACAGACAAGAGGAACACAGAGACGACAGAGAGACACAGGCAGAAAGAAACACAGAGGCAAACAGATGACACAGACGGACAGAGAGATGTTGAATCGAACACACTGAACTTGCTCCATTGAAAGAGATTCCTCCATCTTCGCAATGCCCGGAAGTCGTTCTTATTTTTATTGATTTAATTGCGTGTGGTGTGTATGTGCAAGCAATGTGGGATATCGATGTACACAGATATGAACAAGATCAGCAGATAAGACGTCTTTAATTTAATCGGTCTCTCCACTAAACAAAGGAATGTTGAACACGAAATATAAATCCCACGGCCTTCCTGCGAGTCCATAATTACTGCAGCATTGCTTCAGTGCAAGCCAACTGTGGACCGGTTTTGGTGGACACTGTCTGTGTGTACACTATGTGTGTGTACACTGTGTGTGTGTACACTGTGTGTGTGTGTGTACACTGTGTGTGTGTACACTGTGTGTACACTGTGTGTGCAAGCCAACTGTGGACCGGTTTTGGTGGACAATGTCTCAACAGCAGTGGGGCTTGCTTCAAGCCATGGTTGTGAACATCCAGACGTTAATCAGCAAGGAGCATTTCTAGTCAAAGTTCGACAAAATCTACGTCAACACGTAAGACAAAATTATAATTCGTGTTGTAGAGAATGTATCTCCTCTGCGTGTAACTTTAAGGTGGTATGCCTTGTAACTGATGACTGATCCGAGTGTGCTTCCTATGTCAAAGACAATGAGTTGCTCCAGATGCTTCCTGAAACACAAAAATACCCTTTGATCTGTATCACAAGAACAACGGGTCTCACCTGAGATATCTGTACAGGTTACTTCCAAAACATACACACACTTTGTCCTAACATCACTTATTCAATCAGTTTAACACGTAGGTTTTCGCGACCAATAGTGCGGCCTGGAAGCGTATTATTAAATAATACACATTACAATTCCTTATAGGGGAAACACATACTAATTAACGGATTACTAACATAGCATATAATCACTAACACACATTATAACTAATTACTAATCTACAACTCATTACTAATCATAACCATTGACTGATTACTAATCGATTATATAATTACAATACCCCCCCCTCCGCCTCTAATCACTGCACCTGATATGAGTTAAATAATGACGTCACCCTGCTGCCCTATATAAAACCGGGAGCAAGCGAGGGCTTTACCATTCTGGCGAATTGCCCGATGATGCTGGATGTATTTACCAGAGAAACGTCGTACTCAAACTGTAAATGTTGTGGATTCACTCTTCAACACACCGGTGGGCTAAAGTAGTGACCTATTTGTCTTTTGTCAACGTGACACTTTTTTGCTGATTGGCCGTGTCGGGTGGTGGAGGGTTACGACACATTTATAAATAACACTTATTCAATGTTTGACCCTTATAAAAAAAAAGTGATGCATGTACACACAAAATCAGACAAGTGTTCATTCTAAAATATTGACAGGAGTTTTAACAAAATTTCATTACTGCAGTGAAATATACTGCATCAGATAACATCTGATTAAGCAATTTAAAAAATATATGCACCGTCTGCTTAACAGTGGATGTAAAACATACTATTGTAGTGTCATTCAAAACGAGTAGGCCATTGCATGCTGGCGAATTCTAAACATTAGCGACAAATTACAAAACTGAGATGAAACATCAATCATCGCCCGCTACTGCAGGCTCTTGTTCATATACTCTTTAGTTCTTTCAGTAAAGTCACGTAGGTAGAAAAAATAATAATATATCACGACGTGAATGCTTGGGGGCTTCTTGGCTCTCGCTCCTGGTCAGAGATCTCCCCAATCCACAGGTCCACAAAGACTGGCCGCTCCCTCTTACTCTGCAGGTTGAACCTAGGAACTGAGTGTTCAACTTCGCATTCTTGTCATTAAAGGCCTGTGACAAAGGTGCATCTATTGGAGCGACATCGTCTCAGGCTTACACATCTACCAGGTCTCCACTTGACTTTGGATTGTCTCGGAGGAAGTCCACCCACACCTCCACTTCCACAAACTGCTGGGAGTTGCCTCGCTCTGCCTCACAGTCAGAATTCTCCTCCTGCTTCACGTTGCCTCCATCGATGTGAAGGTCCGATTTTGGAGTTGAATCTTCATCTTCACATTTCACCTTCACTTCTTCGCTATTCACCATCACTTCTTCCCTCTTCACCATCACTTCTTCCCTCTTCACCATCACTTCTTCCCTCTTCACCATCACCTCTTCATATTTCACCTTGATACCTTTAAAAGTGTCCAAGCTGGGATTTTCTTCCGGTTCGTGTTTCACGAGGGATGGGCATATTGTGGCACTTTGACTTTCACAAGCTGATTTCAGACTCCACTCCTTGCAGATCTTCTGATGCTTCTGTGTTCTCTGGTGTACTTGAAGATTTTATGAATGTGCAAACGCCTTCCCGCAGAGTGCACCTGAAGGGTTTCTCTCCCGTGTGTGTCCTCTGGTGTACTTTAAGATGTGATGACTGTCGAAACGCCATCCCACACAGAGTGCACCTGAAGAGTTTCTCTCCCGTGTGTGTTCTCTGGTGTACTTTAAGATGTGATGACTGTGAAAACGCCTTCCAGCACAGAGTGCACTTGAAGGGTTTCTCTCCCGTGTGTTTTCTCTGGTGTACTTTAAGATATGATGAATGTGCAAACATCATCCCGCACAAAAAGCACCTGAAGGGTTTCTCTCCTGTGTGTATTCTCTGGTGTTTTTTAAGAGCAGATGGCCGTGGAAATGCCTTCCCACACACACTGCACTTGAAGGGTTTCTCTCCCGTGTGTGTTCTCTGGTGTTTTTTAAGAGAAGATGAAGCTGAAAATGTCTTCCCACACACACTGCACCTGAAGGGTTTCTCTCCCGTGTGTGTACTCTGGTGTCTTTGCAGATTTGATGACTGTGAAAATGCCTTCCTGCACATCGTGCACCTGAAGGGTTTCTCTCCCGTGTGTGTTCTCTGGTGGGTCTGAAGAGTTGATGGCCATGTAAATGCGTTGTCACACACAGTGCACTTGAAGGGTTTCTCTCCCGTGTGTGTTCGCTGGTGTCTTTCAAGAACTGATGGCCATGCAAATGCCTTGTCACACACAGTGCACTTGAATGGTTTCTCTCCTGTGTGTGTTCTCTGGTGGGTCTCAAGAACTGATGACCATGCAAATGCCGTGTCACACACAGTGCACTTGAA